CCTTTAGAAAACGAATTCATACTGCATTGCACCATAAACAAATGCGTTATCAGTACAAAAACTAAATTCCTTGTCTTTACATTATCTGCAATGAACACAATACAAGTCTGAATATAAGCACTTTTTTATGAGGGACAAAAATATGTAGACAAATTCTTTTCAAAATTAGTTTACTATAGTTTCGTGTCAGAAGAGGATTAGTTTGTGTTCATCAAGTATTGTGAACAAGTTGAGTGATTTTAAGACCCTGCCGCGTGGTCCAGAAATTTCTTCGATGTGAAAACCAAGATCATTGAGTTATACAAAGATGGTCAACGTCAAGTCGACATTGCCAAAAAGTTGAAGCTGAAGCGTAAAGCAGTTTGGGCAATATTGAACAAATAAAACAAAAAGGTATCTTGGAAGCCTCTAAGAGAAGTGGTGGCCTAAAAAACTAAATGCTAGATCAGTTAGCTTAATAAAAGTATTTCGTCCAAAGATCCGTTTAAAATCCCAAGACAAATAAAAGCCGAAATCGAGACAAAAAGAATTGTCAGTGTTTCTACGGAAACTATAAGTAGAAGATTAAATGATTTGAAGTTATTTGCACGTAGCCCGAGTAAGAAGCCTCTAATCTCGAGGAAAAACCGTAAGGACCGATTACAATTTGCACGGTTGCATCTTGATTGGAGCATCTGTGACTGGAAGAGGATATGTTTCAGTGACGAATCCAAGTTCAATATGTTCGGATCAGATGGTGTTCATTACGTTAGACGTCCTAGTGGACAAAGATTGAACCCAACTCCACTTTGCCCGCTGTCAAACATGGAGGCGGGTCTTTTATAGTTTGGGGTGCCTTTCGGGGTTTGGAATGAGACCTTGTATACACAGACATATTAAAGCATGTCATCCTATAGCACACTTCAAATCTCGCAAAGAAATTCTTCTGGATGAAAAAATACCAGTTCTCAAATGGCCTTCACAGTCTCCCGATATAAACATCATTGAAAATCTATGGGAATACTTAGATAAGCAAATACGAGATAAAAATTATTCAAACAAGGATGAGCTTTTTGCCGCTTTAGAGCAAAAGTGGAGTCTGATTGATGTATCTATCAAGAAACTTCTACAATCTATGCCCAGACGATGCCAGGCGGTGATTGATAATAATGGTCATGCTACAAAACATTAACACAAACATTGTTGGTTTTCTATAATTCAATGAACTTTGCTTCTTTTTTCTATAATTGTTTTGCTTCGTCTATATACTTTTGTACTTCATAGTTCCAGTTTTTTTTTAATTAATTTTTATTGAAGGGAGTCTAATGAATTATTTATGTATAAGTGAGTATTATGCTAGAACGAATTATGTATACAGGCTGATGTATTAATAAAACAAGTTAAAAAAGAAATACAGCACAATATTAATTTGTCTATATACTTTTGCCCATTACTGTATATTGCAGAGATTTGTTTAAGCAGAGCAACATTCCCACACTTCTTCTGTTTATATTCCCAGATGTGTGAGTTTTTCAAGAGGAAATGATAATCTATTTCCTGACCTGTGACAAAATCATCAATATAACACCCGAAGCTACACCTAATACTACAAAAAGTCTTCTTTGTACATTATTGTATCGTCTTATTTAACAGTTTACCGGTTTTCAAAAAATTGGAATAGTAGTAGGATTGTGTGAAAATTTCATCGAAATCATAGGGGTATTTCTCAAGTTATAGACGGTTATCAGATCAGCAGACAGACCGAGGGAAATGATTGACATGGTTTTTTGTGATGTACGTATACATGTCAGATAATATTATCCAAGAAAACAAACTATCTGATTTACAAAAACATATTTCTTTGCGGAAAATATCAAACACATGGTCAAATCATCTAAATATAGGTAAAACTGAAGGCTGTGTGGCTGTTTTGTCCATTATGCACGTAAAAAAGTTCTGTCTTTTCAACTTTGTAATTTATACTAAGTGACAAAGAAAGGTAAAGACCTACGTATGTTTATACGATTTTAGTAATTTTTGGCATATATGTTCAGTGTCCCTTACTAGTAAAATGATTAAATTTTCAGCTTGATTCGTCAACTGGCTACTGCAACTTCGTCAGTAAGAGCTGCTAAAGTCTGTGGAGGGTGTTGCAAATCCAAGAGCCTGCGACCTATCATGTCCAAGAGATATTCAATTGGAGATAGGTCTGGCGATCGTGGTGGCCAAGGTAAACGGTTGATGCGGTGTTGATCCATGAAGGCTAACGATGCTCTGGCAACATGCGATCTGGCATTGCCTTGCTGAAAAATCGGGTTAGGATGGTGTTTATTTATGGAATAAGATTAGGCTCCACTATTCCTGAATATAGCGTCGGGTTGTCATATTGCCTCTGATCAAAATAAGTGGTGATCTGCTATCGTAAGTAATAGCACCACATGCCATAACTCTCAAGGTGTGGTGAACAAGACGCTCTCTATCATACTGTGGGAATCGTCTTTCACCACGTCGCCTTCTCACTCTTGCCCAGACAGAAGCAGGATTCGTCACTAAATACCACCTGATTCCATTCCCTGTTCCATAGAAGTATTTCTCTATACTAGAACCAACGGTTACGCTGATGTTCAGCTGTGAGAGGTAGCACCCAATGCGGGCGTTAAGAAAAAGGGCAAACTGTCGTATTCGTCGATATACCGTACGCATACCAACAATCCTTCCATGCTCTTTAAACTACTGACTAGCGATGGCTCGAGTACTACTGAATCTGTCTCTCAGAGCCAGAAGTCTTAACCGGCGGTTTTGTCGCTCTGTGGTCCCTCTGGGCCGTGCAGAACCCCTCGCTCGCTGTCCTCAGTCTTCCTGACTCCATGCTCATTCACACTGCAGTATACTGCGTAAGGATCTGTTGGTCCTCCTATAAACTTCTCGTATCGATAGACCGGCTTCACGCAACCCGACAATTGACGACCTTGGAGCAAAAACCGGACAAGTCCCTATTACAAAATTGTTGGGAAATTAAAAAAAAAAAACTGCACAGTATAACACAGTAAGGTTATTATTGATCAGAATAAGTTTTTATGTATATTCATAGTTCTTATGGACACTACTACTCAGATTTTAAGACTTCTTTTCAAAAAACAAAGGAGAGGGAAATTTTGAAAATTTGGACATGTCCGAGTCTTCAATAATACAATAAGATCATAAAAATACCTTTTAATTTAAAATTAACCACAAATCAAACGGTAATTATATAAAAGAAGAGTCTGAGTCATAGGCGGGTTCTTCTGAATTCTCAATATTTTCAAGATATTCTTCCCCATCAATATCGCCCAATATTTCATTGTAGTACCAATGGTCAGCTTTTGGAACATATTTCTGCACTAAAACCTTGACATCTTTTACTTTTTTCTGGTTGATTTTGAGGGGATAAGACTGGTGCATTTTATCATTTGGTAATGACAGGAAGCTATTCGGTTTTTTAGCAGAAAATTTGATGAATGTTGGAATAACTGTCGATTCACTGCAAATAAACATACCCAGGTGTTCACCTTTTTTTGTCACTCAGTATATATCGGTCGGCCTGTATCGGCATATTGGAGCGATATTGCAGATATGCTGACCGAAAATTTGTAAATATTTACATATTCGTAAGTGCGTGATAATTATCGAGTCAATCTACTTGTCACTATTTTTTTCTTTTCAGATGAAGCGGAAGCCCAGAATTCGAAATTTTGCTGTCTTTGAACTCCTGACCTTTCCGCACGTCCTGAATTTTTAAGCCGAAGCTCTTGGCTGAATTGGGATTGCAAACACTTCTGTGCTGTTTCAGGATTACACCGTGGGGAATTCGGGGCTTTCAATGTAACTGAACTATCGGGTACAATTTGAATGATCTGATATAAACGGAGATGTGATGCGACATCCGGTGGATCAAAGCAAGTTGGATATAGAGGCTGCAGGTGAGATTAATTCAAGCTGTAAGGCGAAATGCTCTTTAAGTCTATAATGTCTATAATACAGTGGGTTCAAGAAGGATGATAGCATTACGTTCTCAAAAAGGTTTGGAATGATATTGTAATTATATTCAGGTAGAAGCTATGGGTCCACTTATCAGTCTGTGCGGGTTCGAATCCTATCTCAAGCGATTTTTTTCTTGCTACGGATGTTGTGATTGTCCGTAGGTGGTAGACGGACTTTGACTGTCGAACGCGAAGGTACCACCCGGCGAATATTTAAGGCGGGCCAGAATGTGTGTATGTTGCATGTGACGTCATCCCCTTTACCCTGTATCCCCCTCACGGTACATAAATAGCAAGCATCTGGACTACCTCGAACGTCATGGCTTGATTAGCGACAGGCAGTACGGTTTCCGGCACCAGTGAGCCACAGGGGACCTCCTAGCTCATGTCACGCAATTGTGGAGTAAACTCATCCAGCCTTAAGGCCTATTAATATTCAGGTTTGTGAATCATATCGGCAAGGTAAACACGTGTATTTTGCTGTTGAATACTCTTTGAACGAACCCTGTATATTGCTCAATAAACTAGTGGTGATGGCCGGAAAACAGGTGTTTTGAGATAAAGAATTAGAAATTCTCAAAAACTACTGGATCAAAAGACTCCAATTTTGTTGTGGTTATTTAGAAGTATGAAACCTACAGAGTTGAAGAATTTCAAGTAGCTGTTTGAAATTATCGTCGCCCTAGCAACAAGGCAGCAGCGGTGGCCGCGGTAGTAGACTCTTCGGTCTCCTGATCAGTCGCCGTGCGCTGTGCAGGTTCGAATCCCGTCCCAAGAGAAATTTTTCTCTTGGTTATGGCTGTTGTGATTGTCCATAGGTGGTAAACGGTCTCTGACTGTCGAACGCAGACGTACCAACCGGCGGATCTCGTAGGCGGGCCCAGAATGTGTGCATGGTGCATGCACACGTGTTCCCTCGCCAGAGTCCGTGTGGCGTCCCCCCCCTTTCCCATGTATCCCCCTATAGCCCCACGGTACCCAATGGGTGCTTAGGCCTTAGGCCTTCGTGGTAGTTGGAGTATATAAAAAAAAAGCCGTGACGAGACAGTGCTGTGCCCTCGACGGCGCCAATTTGGAACAATATTTTTCGATTTTCACAGCCGTGTTTTTATGTAATTTCGTGAATGTTTTGATATATTTGGTCAAAAACTTGAATGATGCTGTAGAACCAGTCAAATTAAAAATATATGGACTCCCGTTTTCTTCTCGTTTCTTCTTCTTAAAATTTTGCCATTTCGACCTCACGTGAACACAACTGCACTGTCAGAGCACGGAGAAAGATACTGACCGGTGTGAATTGAAAACACTGTGAGCTCACGTCAGCGAGAAGCAATGGCACGTCACGGCACTGTCATGTCACGGATGAGTGTGAATGGACCTTTATGGTGAGGCACATGTCGTTGCTCTTGATATCACGAAAGCGTTTGATCAGCCGTGGCACGCTTTTTTTTATATTCCAACTACCATGAAGGCCTAAGGCCTAAGCACCCATTGGGTACCGAGGGGCTATAGGAGGATACGTGGGAAAGGGGGAACGTCACATGGACTCTGGCGAGGGAACACGTATGCATGCAGCATGCACACATTCTGGCTCCGCCTACGAGAACCGCCGGGTGGTACCTCCGCGTTCGACAGTCAAGAGAACAGTCAGAGACCACCTACGGACAATCACAACATTCATAGCGAAGAGAAAAAATCCTCCGTGGACGGGACTCGAACCCGCACAGCGCACGGCGACTGATCAGGAGACCGAAGAGTCTACTACTGCGGCCACCGCTGCTGCCCTTTTATGCAAACTTTTATCGTATGACCTCCCAGAAAAGCTTTGCACAACGTCAACGCGGATATTTTCCAGGGATCGGTCTTGGCTCCGCACTGTTCCTCTCAGATATCAACGAACTACTTTCCTAAATCCATAGCTTTGCTCATGACAGCACTCTACATGCAGGAATTCAGAGTGACAAGCCGATCTCTGCCGCTGAGCTGGAAAAAAGAAGACTAGCGACGACTTCCTCTCCGGCGAGAGGTCTTCACGGCTTGGGGATGCAACAATCTTTCACAGTTCAATGCTTCCAAAACACAGTACTGTAGCTTGACGAACAAAAAGCGTCCTAGCGCTCATCCCGTTTTGATGGATGGCGTTCGCTTCAGATAGTCGGAGTCCAGATCACCGGGAATTTGATCTGTCGCGAACACATCTCGTCAATAGCGGCATCTGTTGGGAAAACGCTAGGCTATTTGTTTAGGGCTAAGAAGTACTTTTCTTCGCATGACCTTCTCACTCTATACAAGGCCCAGGTAAGGCCTAGCCTCGAGTATTGCTCACACGTTTGGGGTGCTGCCGCCACGACTACATTATTTTATGCTCGATGCTGACCAGAGAGGGCTGACTGATCGACGACTCTTCTGTAGCAGACACTCCCGGAACCCTGTCGCACCGGCGGGCCGTCGACGATCTAGCGCTCTCATACCGCTACACCAACGGGCTTTTGCCCCTCAAAGTTCTCTTCCATTATGTCGCCGCGCGATATGCCTACCAGACAGACCCGCCTGGCTTTGGCCTCCCATCCTAACCGTGTCGAACGTCGTACATCCAGAACTGGCCAATACGACCGCTCCTTTGTCTCGAGGATGTCGAGATTGTGGAACAATCTACAAGAGGAAGCTTTTTCCAGTTTTACTAACGTTAGGCAGTCCAAAAATCGCATTAACAAAATTTCTTTGGGAACCTCATAGCAGCCGCGGTGTCGCGGCATTTAAGCTTCTGCCTGCGCGGCTGCTTCGGTATAAAAAAAAACGGTACCAATGGGTATATGAAGTACAGAGTCAACTTACTTGACGTTATTTTTTGAATCCGCAGCTGAGTAGAACTTATTAAGCTTAAGCAATAAGTACGTTGTAACAGAGTTTTTAAGTTGAATCTAAGCTACATCTGAAGATGCTTCAATCTGTAGTTTGTAGTAATACGCAAAATTGTCTAGTGAGTGAGAAGGCTTTGATCTAAATACGTTTCTAGGTTATTTTGGTGAATTTGCGAACTACTTTTCAAGTACGACACTGAAGGACTTAAAAAATTTTATCATGGGAATCCCTATTCGTAAAAAGTCAATAAAGTACAAAGCTTGCAACATTTTATGGTGACGTATCTGGGCTAGGGATCATTTTAGGACCCATATCCATAGGAACGTTCCTTGTTTCTTTCCTGTACTGTTTTTGAACCACTGACTATGCTCATGTTACCATGCCATGAATAATTTAATACTGCTGCACATCGCCTCTGACATAAAAACTGGAATAAAATCGATACCTCTATCTCGAAGTGATTCCTGACTTCACACGTTCCCTTTCCGTTACAGACGGCTTTTGTTTTTTCTCCGTATATCAGCTGTGTTTGAAAGACGTGCCATTACTCACTCCCATTCATCTGCCTTGTGGCAAGTTGGCATCCTAGGCATTCCACACCATAAGCGCCGATCTGCCACCATTTAAGATACGTTTACGTTTAAACATATCGCTGACACCTGTTCCGGGCGACATATTATTTTATTATTATAAAGATTGATGGACGTGACTTGTTTTTCATAATGAAAACGTCACACATCATCCCAAAAATTCATAACAAAAAAAGTAGCAGTAAAGAATGATAATCTAATTACATACAGATAATGTTTATGAAGTTAACCCCTCGTGAAAGGAAATTTCAACTTCCAGTCCTTGTATTTCAAGAACGATCTTTCTGTCGAAAAAAAATTTTTGGTAGCAAATTTTATAATCTACAAAAAATATTTAGTCTTTAACAGTCTTTATACGCTTAGATTGCCAGCCATGATAAGTGAAAATATCATTGCATGTAACTTTATTCGTGATGTTTTCATAAGCTCTTGACTATACGGAAAAGTTTTGTGGGGGCACGTAGCTACAAAAATTGTGTCTATTATTTTTTACATAGGATAATAGTTAATGCCCCAGCCTTATTAGTATAATCATATTTGACGAAAATGCCCCTGGTTTGCGAAATAATTGTGTAAAAGTCTGGTTTTATTGCTTCAAGTGGTTCAAAGGGGTATTCAAAACATGGACACATAAAATGGGTACACAAATTTTTGTTTGAAAACTTTTTATTCGACAACATAGAATGAGAAAACGTGTTTTTTTGGGATTCAATCGAAAGTGCTGACAGGTACGAAAAGACTTCATATAAGATTCTTAGGTATTTATCATACCTACAAAATGAGACCACACGTAAAAAGATCCGACTAATAGCAAAAAAATTATGGCCGAAAACCGAGGCAGACTGCAGGTTTTGGCACTTCAAATTCTTAGAATAACCACAACAAAATTGGAGTAGATTGGTCAAGTAGTTTTTGAGAATTTCTAATTGTCTGTCCCAAAACAGGGTATAGTTCAATGGGCTTTTTATAG